ACTATGAAACTTATTAAATGAATCTCATCCTATTAAAATAAATCAAATTCATTCGAAAAATCTTCTCCGTCGTCACATTCTTTTCCCACCAATTTCTATATTAATAAAAGTGAAAAAGAAATTCCTAAATGTAGCGAAATTAATAATTAGATATTATAATTAGCATAATAATCGATGTAATGAAACTAATGTAACACTCGTAGCCGAAAGAAAGCACGCATTCGTTATCTCTCTTTCAATCCCTGCGATTTAACAAAAATCTCTACGTGAAAAGAACTATTATCGGAGAACAAAAGCGGATAGGGTGAGAACGTTAATTGCCGGCGTTATGGCCGACTCGTATATCATCCTGGGGATAGATTAGTGGAAAAGCGTGCGCAGGATGCGCCTGGCTGAGCGAACGAATATAGCTCTCAGTTCGAAAACGGCGCGGCGCGTCGTTGGAGCGACTAATGGACACCCCAGGTGAAACCATCAATAACGCGAGAAATTCTTAATTAATTGCCGCATATGGTGGCTAATTAAATGCGATACACGCCACGACGCTGGCGGCAGACATGCCTCCCGCATCGTCCTTCCGCTTTTTCTCTCTTCTCAACGCTTCCCTCCATTCCTTTATTTTGTCCCTTTCTCTTTTTCTGCGTTTCTCTCTCTTTTTCTCTCTCCGTTTCGCCGATATTCTTTTCTCTCGTTCTACCCGTGAACGCGAATGTTTAATTCCAATTTTTTAAATAATTCATATATGAATACGTTCATATAAAAGACTAATATAAAATCTATACGACTGTCTTCATTTAGCTATTGCAAAAGTAAACGAGAATACTTGTGCGTAATGATCGTATACGTAATAATTGAATAAGTATTATTAACAAGAGCTTAAAAAAAAATATATACAAATATATTTACAATTCCATTGTTATCCAATCAAATTCTATAAATTATGTATTTATTACACTTTATATTAATACGATTCCCTTTACGTTTTCATAATTGCAATTCGATAAATTTAAATAACAACATGAAAGCAATTAATAAATGCAACACGCACTCTGCTCACGTTAAATTTCGACGCGAAACGTTTTCTTTCGACGCTAATAATGACGCATTTGAAATGTGTTGCTTTATCCAGATCCGCGTGCACCCGTGTACACGACGGTTACAACTCATGCCAAGAGCGAGAACATTGGCATGCAACCTGACAGGTCACGACAGAATGTTCTTCGCATCCCAACGGCAGCAGATTGAAGCCGTGCACGAAGCAACGTCGCTGTCATGGCCACGGGGATCTTCTAGTATCGAATTTTTTTGTATCTCGGATTCCTCCGAGCGCTATTGTTAGATATAATGCTGTGTACTCTCTCGCAAAATAATTCCAAGTCAACATCTACTCACACTCGCGCAAAAACGCATCGTAGACTTTTATATTTAATCCTTTTACTTGTAACAAAATACCATTAAAATGTTAAAACGTAAAATGTCATATAAAATAGTCACGTATATTTAAAAAATATACTACGTCCAATGAAAAGTAACAATTTGAAATTCATATTAAAGAAACCGATTGATAATTATTAAATTCGATAATTATTAAACTGTAAATGTAAAATTACAATAATTTGTAATATAGCTAAATAATTTGGACTTTTATAATAATTTATAATCATTATTAAATTATCATCACTTTGCAATAATTTCGTCATTAACCTCTCTTTTTATAGTTAGTCTATTCTTTACATCTTGTTTAATTCTTTTTCTCTTAATCCTATTTTTATAAAGATTATTATTCACAGAAGTTGTTATACTTAGGTTTTCTTTTTATCGTCCCTTTTGCGATAAGAGCTACTATTATCAAATAGTTATCTGTACATATAAAACCGAGCTCAATCAATATTTCATTACTCGCATCTCAGATTTCTTTCCGATCCGATATTCATGTAGGACACACGCAGCCGCTGAACCGTTGGCATCGCGGAAAATGAATCGTCGCTCGATCCTTGTCGCTCCGAGCTCTCGCGTGCACCTCTCCACGCATCGATGCGTGCATTCGAAACGCCGGAGAGACTTCTAACGCTCGGCGGCGGCGAACGTTACAAGGAGAGTTACCCGGTCCCGGATGACTTGTTAATAAACCGCCGCGGTTCGGCTCGGTATCGCGTGTCACGAAATTCCATTTGTCTGACTCACGCGCGCGCGCGAGAATGCACGTATCGCACGTAGCACGCGTTATTATGCGCGCGCGCGTGGGTCCGCGTGTAAACGCGCGTGCGCTTATCCGTACGCGTGATCTACGTGTGCGAACATATCTATCGCATACGTTAGACGGACCGGCGTCGTGTTAGCACCGATGAAAGTCTTATGACATTCGATCGCTGTCAACATTCGAATTAGGTCGAGCTCTCGAATATCAAATGATCGATTATATAATTTTGTTAAATCACAATACAAAAGTTATATTAAAAAGTATATATATTATAATATATATATGTATATATTATAGAATCTCCAAAAGATTTTGAAGTACGTTATTTTTCTACATGTATAATTGACCGTAATTTAATTTATAGTTTAAAAAAACCAGCAAGCGTGTATTTACCACATGGCTGAATATTATTTGTACAAATTATCATTGGATCTCAAAGGATGATTTCGGGCTAAGGTTAAATATTTAATCCTTTACATTATAATGAAGGCCGTTATGAACTATAATCTTCGTAACACCGTGACGCGGGCAGACCGTGACAGAACCTGTCGACCGAAAAGCAATCAGTGCAATCAACACACGGTAATGATTGACTGGCTTAATAGGACCGGCGCGTGATCTTAAACACGTGTTTCGAACGCGAGCGGAAGAAGGTGAACGTACCTTTACCAACGTACGCGGATACTGTTCTTCGGCCTGTTCGTTCGAGGCTGGTAGGTACACAGGCAGGCCGGTATACGAGTTACGTTCGCGTGCTTTTCACTCACGTGAGTGCCGCGTAATGCTTAATATTTCACTTAGGAACGCGCGAAACGCGGCCGCTTTTCACGATTATCTGCTCGTCGACTGTATTCAAAGGCACGTATCACTCTTCGGCGGTAGAAAAATATACGAAATCAGAGATTTGATCTGTCTCTTGATAAAAGCTTAGCGAGAAGGATAGTCATACCGAACATAATAATTTTTCTACGTCTTGCAGTCTCTACTTGCACGTGGCCACGTATAATGTAAGCGAGTTCCGATCAGTTATGTAATCGAGCGGCCTTTCGTGTTTGAGAAGGTACATAACGTATGTCGCGAAAAAGTCAAAGAAATAATGTACATACAATATCCCATCTGCTTCGAAACGTTTACTCCCCATTAAAGCGTTTCCCGTGTTAGCAGGGAACATAATCGCACGATAAAACGGCAGTTATATTTCTATGGAACAGTATATACATGATATATTCGCGTGACGGCTGCCTTTTACACGGACACAATGTTAGGCGGAAAGCCGAGAGCTAGCTGACAAAATTAAAAAAAAATGCGTTATGTACATCGTGTTGTGGGCCGGCAACATAAAACGCCGCGCTTTAAACCTAATTTATTCAAAACAGCCTCGCTCTCGGTGAGTTAGCTCGTTTTTACGCAACCATCGGCTAAAATAAAAGAGAAAAAACGCGGAGGAAACGCGAAGGGAATTATGAGAGGCAGTTAGTCATTTACATCGTTATTCTCGTAAAGAAGTTACGTACGGTGCACGCCCTTCGCAGCGAAAGGGCTAATTAGGCGAGAGCGTACCGGAAGATTAGAGCGACCGCCCGAGTCTCCTCTTCCTCGTCTCCGCCGAGTGGTAACGGTAAATCGAGATCAGTCAACCTCCGGGCGAATCGAACGACGAAGACGAGGACGACGACGACGGCGGCGGCGAGCGATACGCTCGTGTGTAACCTCTTCGTGAACATTCGCGCATTTACATTTACAGCGGTGTATTATTCTCGGCGCGCTTAAATTGCCGCTTCGACATTCGTGCGCGCGGGTCGGACAAAATTTCTCCGATTGTATAATCCGCGAACGGCGGACAGATCTAATTTACGGAAGGCAGCTAATGGAGTGGAATTGCGAGCATATTGGCCCGCTCGATACGTAGAACGGACGGGACTAGCGCGATTACACAGCGGGCCATAATTAATATTTAACAGTATCGTGGGTGAAGGTTTGCACAATGCGAGTGCGCGTTAACGAGCAATCGCGTAATCCGACGCAATGATATAACCCACCGTGGGCTCTGTCCCAGTTTCTAACGAAAAAAAAAAAAAGAAAGAAATAGTTGCGTTACTATCCGTTACAAAGCAACACCGGGCGCATAACGCAACGCACAAGCCCGGTTCTAAGTGGGTGGTGATACTCCATAATGTATAAACTGCGATTTCCATATCGCCCCGCCAAGTGACAACGAGCGTTCCGCCTCACGCTGGATATATCGTGCAAATTTTCACGTCATGCTTCATCGTAACTATCTCGACAAGAAAAGTAAGTCTAAAGTGGAGAAAGAAAATAATGCTCTCTCTCTGGAAATGGGGATGTATCTAAAGAAAATCCGAGAGATAACAGCATTGTTCTTGTCTGAGATATATAAGAGATGTTCCGCATAAAATTGAATGGGAGCTAAAAACTGATTTACGTAATTCAATTCTTCGCTCTCCCAGACTCGAAATACGAACCATATAAATTCTTTGGAATGACGCGCGGATAAACTAAATTTAAATTTGCCGACGTACTCGAGGAATAATAAAATTTGTCGTGTGCAGCGCAAACAAAACCGATCGATGATGCGTACACGCGCATTGAAGAAAACTGCACGATTCGGCGGAGTAAGAACGGAGTGCACCGTTACGTTTTCGTCGGCGCGCGAATTCGTAGAAAAACCATCGATCCTACCGTCTCGATAAATCGATACCACCGACGGCGCGCAGCGTGCGTCATAAATAATTTATCTCGCAAGACTAGCACGCTGTATAAAGAGAAGGGATTTACTCACCATAATCGGAGCGCGATCTCGCCGCTCGGATGCAGAAGAAGGTGATCCGCCGACCGCAGCATCTGCAACGAGAAAGAAAAATCTCTTTCATCCGCGCTAATTCACCGTTAGATCTATCGGCGCGATATGCTTCCGGCACCGCGCACGCAAACGCGGCGCTCGTCGAGTAAAGGGGAGGAGAAAGGGAGGGCAAAAAAAAAGGAACAAAAAATTAAAAGATCAGAAATACCATAAATTTTAGAACGGCGAGATCGTGGACGCGCGGTAAAACTGGAATCCCTCGTGCGAGGAAAGCGCGCTACTCCGCGCCTCGCCGTCGTCAATAAAATCGCAGAAAGGACGACGCTGACCTCTCCGCGCAGCACGGTGAGACGACGATTCCCCGCGGACCCCGGGACTCCGCACGCCACCCCGGGTTGTTAACATAAGGATATTTCCGCGGGGAAATAGTCTCGCGCGGCGTGCCTTCCCGCGAGGTTATCTCTGCCTCGAGATCATTGAGGATCGCATAAATAAAGCGCAATTCAAGAAATGAGTGCGCTACATGTGTCTGTGAACTTAGCACGACATTTTGTTAATTTTTAAAAAACAATAATAGCTCCAGTAGAGCACTTTCCATAGTTCTACCGTTCCTGATAAACAGTAAAAAATATTTTAACTCCAGAAAAATAAAAATTAAAAAATGACGTGCTAACTTCACGTTCCACGGCACATCTCCCTCTAAAGTACTATATTCTGTCAAATATTATATCTGTCAAGTGTTCCCATTAATCCTAAGTTAATTTCATAATTATATAGCGTTTCAAGACAAAAGTGCAACAATTAATTATTTTTTAAACAGCTGCGAATACCCACGGCAGCACGATATACCAAAAAATGAGATCCTGAAATTGATTTTGATGAGTCTTAAGTCGGCAGCTGCAGACGTGTACCAGAAAATTCCTGTTTTATAGAAATGTAAAACGGAAAAATCTCTTCTTATAGAGAATGTGTTCGTCGAGAAATTAGCAGAATTCGTAGATAAAAACAACTATAAAAAACTTAATAATGTCAGGCTCAACATTTGTCAGGGACTAATATATTTCTAAATTATATTAGTAATATACTAATCATTTGTTTCGAAGGAACAAAAGTACGAGTATCATGCGTTAGAAGAGAATATTATTTCTCCGAGCCCTTCGCCTTCTTCTTCCCTTGTAGGACTTAGTGCGTGCCGAACGAAACCGCACCGGCCGACTTTTTTCCGGGAACCGTTCGGGAATCGTGCAGGAAATCGTAGTTCGTAGGGAAGCAACAATCGGTCCCGCAAGGGCAGCCGGAATTAGCGTCGTTTATTTTTCCAGTCTCGAAAATCTGAAGTTCAGGCCGCACCATGCTATCGCTGCTCCTTCGCAGCCGCGAATTAGTACGCTATATAATTTGACCGCGGCGCACATTAATCTTCTTATCGTTCGACAAGGAAATAAACCAATCGCCGGTGTGGCTCGTTGTAAAATATGTTACTGCAATATCGCGTGAATGTGTGTACATATTATTAAATAATTTCGTCTTGCCGGAGCACAATAGTAAGAAGCGTGTGAATAACGTCGCTCGATATCCTAGCGCATTTTTTTTCCTAGCTCTTCGTTATTATTTCTTTCGACACGTGGTAGTTTAGGTTTCCATTCGCACGATCGTTAAGAGATCAGCCTCGAAGCGCTTTATGGCAGCGCTTCGCTTCGAAGATCTGCCGCTCCCTGCCGACAAAATCAACACGTTGAATGAAAGCAAGAGGCACTGTGTGTAAAATTCCACTCCCGCATCGCTAAACGCGTAAGTGATATACGTATAAAGAGCGACACTCTTGAGAAGAATAATGATTTAGCTATGCGAGTAGCGTTACACGATACGATCATTATCTCATCGTCGACTTTTCTAGACTATTAAACCTGCGTGACAGCGGCGTAATGTTCGTAAAATCAAAGGTGGATAAAGAGCCGCCGTGCGAGATAGGCGACGTGCATAATAGTGTCGGGTGATAAGAAGATAAGAGCCTTAGAAGCGTGCATACTCGGTGTCAAGTTTTCGTATCACATGCCTAGTTGGATGGTCTTAGATTACAACTAACGATACTTATGGGAATCGACGGGCTCACTTTCTACACGGTGGAATTAAACGCGCACGCAACAGACAGAACAATACGCACTCGATGAGATACTTAATGAAATCTTTACGAGACGCGAAACCTTTTCTCCTGTATAATAAAAGAATTGTATTACAACGGACATAATTAATAATTCTGTGAGACAGAAAATATAAAGATGATACAAAAATATAAAGAGATAACAATTATTTCGTCATTTATATGAAGCAAAATTGTAGTAATTGTAACGAGTACTTAAAAAAATATTGCAAAATATTTCTCGCGTTTCCTAAGTATTCGAAAAGAGAACAAGACTGACATAATATTTGCAAAGTTGTCTTTATGCTGCCAAATTGAAGGGAAACGACGACGACGAGAGGTTGGTCCTTGCGGATGCATTCGGAACTCATGTCATGTAGGTCCATAAAGTCCCCGTTATTCCAGCACTCGCAAATCGTTATTATCACCGTTGTTATTATTACGGTGTCCGATACGAGCGCGCCGCATAACAATAACCGCCCGTGTACACAAGGCAACGTCGAGTAATGACTTTAAATTTAAATTAGCATACATGTCTGGCGGGCTCGTCAATCCGCTTACGGTGTCAAAGTTTACGGTAACGCATCGGTACCTTTATTAAAACTCCATTGAAATAATTTAATTACAGATAATAATCGATCGAAATTCTGGAATTAATAACCGGCCCCGGTAAACGCGCGCAAGTATTTCAATAATTAATAAACGGTACGCGGGACGAAACAATTTCATGACACCAAACGTCGTTACTGCGAAAGTGGATTGACCTAAATTATAATTGATTTAACGTCGGCGAGTACACTGCAACTTTCGCGTTACGGACTTTTCATCATTTCATACGTGCCGCGGCTATTGTTAATGGTATACGCGTACTTATCGATCTTTTGAAATATTAATACACATCATTACTAAGCAAAGCGATAACTGGACATGGTATATAAACCTGCAACCCCGCATCATTCGCCTCTGCGATGCACGGTACACCGCGCATCTTTGCCGATAAACGACAACAACGGCGGCTATAACGACGACAACGGTAGCGTGTAAAACGCGGGCGTGCTTATCCGTGGCGCGGGGAGATTTAATCTGACCGGCTATTATATACGTGACGTACAATAAGCGTCCGCTCCTCGGTCCGCGCGCGCGGTGCTTACAGAGCGAGCGAATAGAGACGTTCGAGCGTGCAACCGCGTTGCTCGTGCGATGCAAAATCGATACTTTCCCCCGCCGAGCCGAGCCGAGCCTAGCCTAGCCGTGTGCGCGGCCCTCGCACTGACCTATCGGGCGCATCGGGTAACTGGGTGAACCCCGTAGGAAGGCGATAATAAATTAATCATCTAGTTATCGTGTACATGGGCGTAATGACTACTCTGCAACCTTGCCGCACACATGCGGCCAGGTAGTTTCCTCGATCGGCCTCGCGAGATTCCGACGCTCTTCATCTTTCCTGGGAACCGGCCGCGTATATAGATCGAAATATGAAGCGCGAAGTAAGAGAGCCCGGCGTTCCCTGCAATTTACATGGGAGAATTGTTTATTATTGTATATATGTGGCGCCTCCATTATCATTAGCGGATCTGCACGACCGGCGTAATATCGCGTACGATCGGAATTATCTAATAATTGTAGCCTGTCTTTGATTTATGTGTACACTTTTCGAAATCGCCTTAATCACGCGGGAGACCTCGAAATGCCCGTAACAACAACAACGCACTTAACAGCAACGCACGGGCAAACGAATGTGCGGCGTGTCGTGCACGTTTTGATCGAAAAACGAGACGAGACACGATAATACGTAATCCCCGCGGAGAGTTTTACGACGAGACGGATTTTACGCATCTCGTAGGTTTCCCCTTGTTATATATAGTTTCCTACGCCGCTGGACGTGAGCCGCACATCGGCTGCACTCGTGTCCTTTTAAAGGCGCATCCACACGTGCCTCGGCCGGAAAGGCCGAAGGGAAGCACGGGGTTGTGCGTGCAGCTCGGAAACTGGCTATAAATAGGTGTACAGGCGCGTTATTTCCCCCTAATCCGTAGGAATTGCGCGATATCGCGCCGCTCGCGCGATAGAGAGAGTTCGGGGACCGGTTTCCGCTAACGCGTTTCCGAAGGTGGCGTCTTTCCGCGCGCCACGTCTTTTAATGCGCTTTTAATGAAAAGGTTCCCACGAATATCCTAATTGCCGCGCGAGATTATTATTACGCGACATGTGTATGTGTGTGTGTGCGGTTAAACACCGGGATCTATTCGATCAACGGTCGAACCCCGATAAATTGATTGTAAGTAAGAATTCGCTAATTGCCGATGAACGACGGCGGGATAAGGTGCGCGAAATCGAGGTGAACCCGAGATGCGAGTCGCGTTGGCACATATCGCGCGATTAAAACCTCATTCCTCGATCCACTCTCGAATGATTTTTTTTTTTTTTTTGGTTTTGTTAATCGCGTTTCGTCACACGCCATTTGTAAACCTGATATCCCATTGCACGAAACATACGATAATCCGTTCGCAACATTCGTCTTGTGGATTTACTAATTTGGAGCGAACGAGTGAAAGGGGACCGGTCAAATTATTTCGCTGATAGTCGTAACCTGTTGTTAAGTGCGCGCGTTCGGCGAGAGACCGCCGCTTAAATCGCGAATGGTAATACGACGGTGATCGTAATGCGATATTAAGTATAATATACGATTTCCAAGTTATAACGACGGAGTGCAGCTTGCCATCAGTCCCCAACGAGCTTAAACAAAGAGGAAGGTCACCGTGCGTCTGGCTGGTATCGTAAATTAAGATACGCGATGCCTCAAAACATATAATTCTACACAAGAATTATTAAAATGGAGGCTATAGAAATAATGAAAATTAAAGCGTTCAAAGCAACATTGATGTAACTCACTTTTTTTTT